TTGTTTTTTTTTTGTTGTTGTTTTTTTTTTGGTTTTTTTGCTTTATCTGTTTTTAGGACCACACCAGCGGGTGCTCTGTAGACAATGCAGTCATGGTGCTCTGTAGACAATGCAGTCATGGATCAAAATTCCCTCCCCGCCCCCCCCCCCCAGCCTCCCCCAGGCCTCCAATATGCAAATTTCCCATCTCCTTAGAGGCTCCCTCTCCAAATGCAGTCCCGTTGAGGGGGGTCACATGTGGTGTGTGTGTGTGTGTGTGTGTGTGTGTGTGTGACTATTCTCCAAATGCAGTCAGGCTGAGGGGGTCACATGTGGTGTGTGTGTGTGTGTGTGTGTGTGACTATTCTCCAAATGCAGTCAGGCTGAGGGGGTCACATGCTGTGTGTGTGTGTGTGTGTGTGTGTGACTATTCTCCAAGTGCAGTCAGACTGAGGGATCACATGTGTTTGTGTGTGTACATGTGTGTGTGTGTGTGTGACTTTTCAGACCTTCCCCCCAGGACTGGAGGGGGAGTTTCAGGTTAAAAAATTAAAAAAGCCTGCGGGAGCTAGCTAACTGACAAGACGGCTCGGTCACCCTTGGCAGAACCAGAAACTCATCCCCCAAACGCAGCCGCCGCTGACAACCAACTGACAACCAAATCGCTTCCATTTGAAGAAGAAAACAAAACAGAACAAAAATATTCGACCTTCGGTGGCTAAACCAATCCCACAGCATCTCAGACTCCAAGCTCCAAGCCCTGGCTGCAGTGGCGCCCCAGAAAACAACAAAAAACACCCCCAAATCTGTGTGTGGGGGCCACATTTGTGGCGAAAGGGAATCCTGTGGGGTCACACCCAGCCATGCTCGGGGGTTACTCCTGGCGGTGCTCAGGAGACCATACGGGATGCCGGGGATCAAACCCGGGTCGGCCCTCCCTGCTGTGCTATCGCTCCAGCCCCAGAAGACGGTTATCTTTGGAAGAAGAGGAAACAACAGGGCCAGAGCAAGCGTGCGGCCTGTAACACGCAGCCGACCCGGGTTCGATCCCTGGCATCCCATAGGGTCCCGTGAGCAATGCCAGGAGTCACTTCTGAGCATCTCCCAAAAGCCAAAAAAAAAAAAAAAGAAGAAGAAGAGGAAGCGATTCCATACATAGACCCTCCCTCCTCTCATCCTTCCCTCTGTTCCCCATCGCTCCTCATCGACCTTCCTCTCTCTCCCTCTCCATCTGCCCTGATGGGGCAAAGTGCTCAGCAGCGTCACCGCCAATCCCAGGAGAAAAGGCCTGAGCAGACACCAACCCAGCCGGCAGGAGCACTTACACCTCAAACGCAATGTTCACTGCTGCCGGCCCCGGCAGCCTCGGCCGACAAAGAGAGGCTGAGGCAGGGCTGCCAGGAACAGGGAACTGAGCACCCTCACTTGGTTGAGCTGGCCGGGGGTCCAGTGACACTGCTACCCCGAGTGCCCCGGGGTGTCCTGGGCCTGGGTGACCACTGCGGTCACACTTCCACACTTTCCCTGGCCCTCCTCCTGCGGCTCCAGGCTTCAGCTGCCATCTCTGTTCCCCTATCTGCACTTCTTTTGTTGTTGTTTTTTGGGTCACACCCAGCGATGCTCAGGGGTTCCTCCCAGCTCTGCATTCAGGAATGACTCCTGGCGGTGCTCGGGGGACCCTATGGGATGCTGGGACTCGAAGCCGCGTCAGCCACCGCGTTGCAAGGCAAACAGATGCCCTCTCCCCGCTGTGCTATGGCTCTGGAACGGGATCTGCACATTTCTGTCGGTACTCACCGGGGCCATCCCTTTGGTGCAGGGTCCCGCCCGGTCTCCTCCTCCGGCAGTTCCCACAGTCTGTCTCTCCAGCGATGCTGGCAGCTCCAGGCCCAGATACAAAGGGCTGTGTGTCTCTGTGCCTGTGAGTGTGTGGTAGGGGGGCCTGACTCCCTGCCCCGCCCCCTACTCTGTGTCTCATCCGAGGGTCACCACGGGCCCCCTGTGGGGAAGCAGGAAGAACCCCATGAGGGAGGATGGGCTGGTTCCCCCTGGTTCACCTGGGTAATGAATTCATTAGCTCCCTGGGAGGGGAGCGAGAGAGGGCTTTGGGAAATCGGGCACCACCAGCAGAGAGGCCCCAGGGGGCCATGCAGGGGTGAAGGCCAACAGCCAATCCCAGTCTCCTCTGCCTAGGGTATCTAAGCACAGAGCCAGGGGTAGCCCTGGGGCACCACCACATCCAAAAAGGAAAAAAAAAAAAGGGAAGGGGGGCGTGATAAGCAAGAAACCAGTAGAGACCTTTGTGGAAGGGGTTTCAGAGTCCCCCTTGGAGGGTCCGTTTGTGCCTGGGAGCCTTCCCAGGGGACCCCGGGCAGGGCCTGTCGTCATCCCTCAGAGTGGCTGTGTTTTCCGTTGGGAGCGGGTGTTTCGCCTTCTCCGGCTCTTAGCGGGCTGTGATGAGGAGGAGCACGCCGTGTTTGCGGAGAAGCCTGGTCTGGGTTGGGGTCAGACTTTTCTCTGCTACACACACCCTCATCTTCCCGATCCGCCTGGAGAGACACACCTCAACAACGCCCCCCGCCCCCTTCCCACCTCACCCCTGCATCAGAGCCGAGGTAGAGGTGAGCGGCGCAGGGGCGGTAGAGAAGGGATGACTGTCTTGAAAAATAATTTGCTTTCTCTGTTGTTGTTGCTGTCGTGGCCAAAGCAGAGTTAACTGCATGTTGCTGTTGTGGCCAAGGCAGAGTAACTGCATGTTGCTGTCGTGGCCAAAGCAGAGTAACTGCATATTGCTGTCGTGACCAAAGCAGAGAAACTGCAATCTGCCCAAGCACATCTTTTTTTTTTTTCTTTAATTCTTTTTTCTCCCCTCCCCACCAAGCACATCTTTAAAAAAAAAAGGGAATTGAGTCACACCCGGCAGGGCTCAGGGACCCATGCAAGCGCGCGCGGATTCCAACTGGGATCAGCCTCATGCAAGAGCAAGGGCCTTAACCCCGGGATTATCTCTGCTGCCCCAGGAGGTCCCCTGCTTGCTTGCAAGGCATGCACTTTGCCCCTCTGCGGTCGGCCAGCCTCCCCCCTTCTCCTGAGTGAAGCAATCCTTCCCGGGACGAACCGGTGACAGAGTTTGGCAAGGAGGCAATGGGGAATTCTTTTTTTTTAAGTGTGTGTGAGGGAATTCATAAATGAAAGGCCTTCTTGAATCTGGGTCCTGGACCCACCCCAGGTCTCAGCCTCCCCCTCCCCACACCCCTACCCACCATCTTCAGGCGATTTTGAAGTGCCAGAATGGAATGTTCCGGGCCCCACAGCTCAGGGTCTACAGAGAATGCGCTGGAGAGACAGGCCCTTTCTGCAACTCTTATTTTTCTCTCTTTTCTTCTTCTTCTTCTTCTTCTTTTGCTTCTTCCCTCTGCTGCTGCAGTGCTGGGCACTGACCCAGGTCTTCACATAAGCCAGGCAAGTGCTCTCCACCGCTGAGCTAACCCCCTTCCACCCCCCAGCCCTCCCAGTCCGTTTAGTTCTTTGTTGCTTCCTTTGTTTGGGGAGTGGCTGGTCCGAGTTGGAACTGGACTTTGAGGGGGAGAGGGTTAAGCTTAGGGTGAAGGGTGGTGTGTGGTGACTGTTAGGTTTAGGGCTTAGGGTTGGCGCTTAACATGGAGAATTTAGTTCTGCGTGAGACTAAAAGGTTTCATGTTTAATGACCGGGGTTAGTATTGGCGAGAGAAAAAAAAATAATGCTTAGGGCTCGCTTGGGGTTCCAGCTAAGACATTCTCTGGAGTTCGGGTTCGGGTATATAGGGTTTGGGTAGGATTAGGGTTCGTGTCCGGGGTGTGGGCAGATTTAGAGCTGGGGTTGGGGTTTAGGATGGGGCATTTCTGGGTGGGCCCCGCTTTCTCGGGTGCTTCTCAGCCACTTGGCCAGGGGTGCCTTTGGGTCTGCGGTGCCTCACCGCCGAGTGAGAGCCTGAGAGGCAAGCTCAGATTCGATTTCCCGTCTTGTTTCTCCCCTTTAAGGCCTAAGGGAAGGGGGGTGTGAGCAGGGGCCAGGGCAGGGGCAGCTGGCCGTGGGGCGGCTTTGTGCAGAAACCTGTAGCCTGCCCAGCGGGGGGGAGGGGAGTGGCCGTGGAGCTCAGGACGACTGGCCTTGAACGCCCACCTCCTTCCTTGCTCGCTAAGCTTTGGAAAACCAGTCTGACTTCCTGGGGGGGGGGGGCGGTTTAAACTTCAGCCTTCTGCAGTACTCCTACAAAATATAAATAAAAAATGAAATAAAATAAAATAATAAACCTCAGCCTTCTGGCCCTCATCGTGGGGGGGGGGGGGAAGAAAATGGTTTGTCAAAACCAAACAAAACGAATAATAAAATAAAATAAGAACCTCATTATAGTCCATGAAACTCCCACCCATCGCCCCCAGGGCAGGCTGGGAAAATTGGTAAATTTATGGGGGGAATTTAGCTCGCTCCTGGCCGACTCCTAGTCTCCTAGGGTGGGGGAGGGGGAAGCAGTGTGGAGGGGCCCCCTCCCCCCCTCCCCTCCCCCGTAGGCCTTGCCTTCCCCTTCCCGCATCCGCTCCACCTCCCCCGCCCCCTCCCAGGGTTTAGGGACCTGAGCGATCCCAGTCCCTAACCACCATCCCCCCTCCACCTGTTTGCAGCCAGACCCCTCTGCAAAGCTGGCCAACCGCCCCATACCCCCACCCCACATCCGCGCAAGACCAGGGTCTATACCTTTTTTTTTTTTTATGCCATTTAATCGAATACCAAAGGGAAGAAGGACACCGAGAGAGGGAGAGAGGGGGCCAACACAGCCACAGTGAACACAGTGAACACACTTTCGGGGAGAGGCGGGACAGGGGTCTCGGGGAGAGCCCGTGCGGGGGTGGGGGGGTGGGTAGCAGAGGGAGCTGGGCGCTGCGTGGAGGGGCGGGCGGGGCGCGGGGGTGCTGGGGTGGGGGCGCCTCCACCGCGGGGGGTGCCAGCCGGGGCGCGCGCAGGGTGGCGGGGGCTGGGAGGGCTAGTTGCCGCCGCTGCTGCCGCCGCCGCCGCCGCCGCCGCCGCTCTTGCCCGAGGGGCGGTAGACCCCGATGACCACGGCGTGGTCGCGCTCGTAGGGCTCCAGCGTGAGCTGCTCCTGCGGCTTGAGGTTCTCCTGCTGCAGCTTCTTGACCTCGGACGCGAACACGGCCTCGGGCGAGGCGGTGGAGTCGATGCAGTTGGCCTTGATGGACATGAGGAAGTGGCCGCCGTTGCGCAGGAAGGTGTGCGCGTTGAGCGCCACGATGCGCGACTGGTCGGGCTGCGCCACGTCGGCGAAGATGACGTCCACCATGCCGATGAGCATGCGGTACTTGAGCGGGTGGCGCGCGTCCTCCAGCACGGGGATGATGTTGGTGCGGCGGTTGGCCACGTTGACCAGGTCGCGGCCCGTGCGGTGCGAGAACTCCACGGCGTAGACGAGGCCCTCGGGCCCGATGATGTCGGACACGTGCGACACGGTGGTGCCCGACGCGGCGCCCAGGTACAGCACCTTGGACTTGGGCTTGATGTGGATCTGCTCCACGCCGCCCAGGATGGCCGCGGCCAGCTTGGAGCGGAACGGGTTCCACATGCGGTACTCCACCTTCTCGGTGCCCTCGATCACCGTCACGCGCCGCTCGCCGTACACCGAGTGGCCGGGCACCAGGTTCAGCGTGACCAGCGCGTCGGCGCCGCCGCGGTAGATGAACACGCCCGCGTGCCGGTGCGGCTCCACCGTGATCAGGTTGGCGGCGCGTTTGCGGCGGCGGTTCTTGTTCTTGACCACGCCGGCGCGCCATTGCCCACCCCGCTGCTGCTCGCGGGGGTCGCCGCCGCCGCCGCCGCCGCCGCTGCGGCCCCGGCCCCGGCCGCCGCCTCCGAAGCCGCGTGCCCGCGGCCCCCCGTACCCACCGGCACCCCCCGCACGTAGCGCGCCCCCCGCATGAACCTTATTCCCCGCACGGCCCTTGCTCCCCGCACGGCCCGGGTGCCCCGGACGCCCCTTGCTACCGGAGCGCCCCTGGCCCCCCGGGCGCCCCTTGCTGCCGCTGCGCCCCTGGCGCCCCGAGCCGCCGCCGCCGCTGCGCCCCTGGCTCCCCGAGCCGCTGCCGCCGCCGCCGCTGCGCCCCGAGCCGCCGGCGCGCCGCCCCTTGGCGCTGGAGCTGCGCCCCTTGCTCCCCGAGCGCCCCTTGCTCCCCGAGCGGCCGCTATCGTCTCTGCGTCCCTTACTGCCATCGCGCCGTCCGCTCCAGCTGCTGCTCCGGCTGCTGCCCGATCCACCCTGGCGCAGGCTCACAGCCGATTTCATAGCGCGCCCCGGGGCTGTCCGGGGAGGCCCGCCGGCCGGCCGGCGCGCGCGCGCAACCGCGCACACACACGCGGGGGGCCACGGGCCGCCGCGCCCCCGACCCCGGGCCGAGTCCCGCCGAGGGCGCTCCGGGAGCGGCGGTCGGTCGTCCGCAGGCTGCAGGGGGGAGTTGGGGTGACCTAAAGGGGCGGGTTGGCAGAGAAAGGCTGGGGGGAGAGTTCTTTTTTTTTTGCCTTTTTTTCTTTTTTTTCTATGGTTTTCGAGGGGTCCCGCTCGCTCCCCCGGCGGCGCTGGAGCGGGACCGAACCGGCGGCGTTGGGTGGCGGCGGCGGCGGCGGCGGTGGCTGGCCCGCTCCTCCGCCTCCGCCACCGGCACCGGCACCGGCACCGGCAGCACCACGGGCTCCTCCCGGCGACGAGCGAGACCGACGACGAGGCGGCTGGCACGGGCTCTACTGCAGTCCCCGCAGCTCAGGAGCCGCCCTTTGACGCAGCGCCTGGCGTGATCGCATCACGCCCCGCTATGGCAACCCCGCAGCCCCGGAAGCCCCCCTTCCCCGGCGCGCAGACGCAGCCCGCACCCCTGCGAGCCCTCCCCTCCCCCCCAACACCCCCTGCGCGCGCGCCGGGCTCGGTCGGCACCGGCGCTTCGGGGCGAACGGGGGGCCCTCCCACCCCCGGGGTGGAGGGGGGAGTCAGCTCTGCAGGAGCGCGGGCGGGGGGCGACGGCGGGAGGCGCGTGTGTGTGGGGGGGGTGGGTGGGTAGGGGGGTGGGGTTCAACCCTACCCTGGTCACTCACGCTATTCTTGCTCCTCCCCGGGCCTGAGAAGCTCCGCTGGGCCGGCCGTGTGTGTGTGTGTGTGTGTGTGTGTGTGTGTGTGTGTGTCTCTCTCTCTCTCCCCGAGGAATTCTCTGGATTTCATCATTCCTCTCTGTGCGACAGAACATTCCAGTTGCACATCGTCTTTAAACAAAGATTGGCTCGGGCGCCCGTGGTGTATGTGTGTGTGTGTGTGCGCGCGCCCGCGCGGGGCTAACCCCTGTTCGATTCCAAGGCCCGCAAATGGTACCCCCAGTTTACCGCCCCCGAACACCACCAGGTCTGCCCTGCCACCCTCACCCACATTTTTTTTTCTTTTCTCTCTTTTTTTTTTTTCCTGAAAAACACTATGTACACTGACTTGAGCCATTGTCCATGCTAAGGGTTACATTAATGGTAGCTCTTAATTTTTTTTAAAATGTATTCATTTCGGTCAACTGATTGCGGTATGGTTCACATACAATGCATCTCTCCCTCCATTCTCTCTCTCTCCCTCTCTCTCTCTCTCTCTCTGTCTCTCTCTCTCCCCTCCCCTCCCCCTCCCCCTCCCTCTCACTTGATTTTAAATGAAATCATTGCTCTTACAGCGTTTGGCACCAGAAAGGCATCCTGACCCTGTCTGTATACACAGGTTGTTGGAACGCAAACCGGAGCCGTAAATTCTGACAAAACAACACACCTAGGCTTCAACTTAAGTTATTCCACGTTGCAAATTTTACCGTGAAGGGATAAAAGGTTACAGCGGAGATCATTATTGTCATGGGAGTGCTGGAGGCGAGATGAAATGAGTCAATGCAACAGATCGCTTATATTTTTTCGGCGGTGGTGGGGGGCTGATACCTGACGGTGCTTGGGGGTTGCTTCCAATGGTGCTTGGGGGTACGGGGGCATTGTTGTGTTGGAGCATGAACCCAGGCCTGCTGCACGCAAAGCTTACTCTTTCTGCACGCTCAGCCTACCGGGAAAAATCTCTCTGCCCCTCAAAAGCTATTTAGAAGCTAGAATCCGAGGCTGAAGAGATTAGCACGGTGGGAAAGGCGTTTGCCTTGCCTGCCACTGGCCTTGGTCCAATCCCTGTCATCCCACACGTCCCCTGAGCATCACCAGGAGTGATCCTTGAGCAGAGCCGGGAGTAATCCCTCAACACCTCCAGGTAACGGTCCTCAAACAAATGCAAAATATAATAGGATTAAAAAACAATGGTACAATTGTTTTTTAAAAATTGGTACAAACCAAAAAAAAAAATGGTGCAATGGTTAAAGAAACCAAGGACCCAGGACTTCACACAAGCGAGACAAGAGCTCTATCTATGATGGAATCACAACCAGGCTCGGGACTTCTTGATGGATTGAATGTCGGAGCTCGGGAAATCCCTAGTCAGAGAAGGCCAGCAGCTCTAGCCTCCTCCAGTCCCTGTTCTGGGGGGGGAGGGGTGGTGACGCTCCGTGGGGTGTCTGGGAACACACAGAGGCCAGAGCCCTGAATCCTCTAACACACAGCAGCCGGGGGCACCGAGGTACCCGCATCCTTCAAGACCTTCGGAAACCTCTGCTTTCCCGGCGCCGGGAACAGCACCCAGGGTTGCCGGGCAGCACCGCGGACAGCGAATCAAGGGAAGAAGCGCCGCGCATGTGTGGGCAGCACCACGGACAGCGACACGGACCAGGGGCGCTGGGCGCCACCGCAGCAGTGGGACCCTACCCTGCACCGCAGGGGCTATAGAAAGTACCGGGTCTGCCTGCAAATTTCCCCAGCTGTGGAGTCAATGGCCGGGGCCCAGAGAGACTCACAGAATGCCCCAGGCGCTGGGAAGGCGTCCAGCAGAGGACCCCCTGGGCTTACACATCACAACGCGTGACCATTCCATCTTGGACGTCCGTTCCATCCGACGGTCACAAACGGCCATGCCGGGTTGGATGTTTCCTCCAGGAAGGAGACCCACATCTGCCTCCTTGGTGGAGGCTAGGAGCCCACCTGGTGAAGGCTGGATCAGGGGGGCAGGGTGGACGCTGTACTAGACTTCAGAGCAGTGCTACCGAAATGGGATTCACATCACTCTCTTCTGAACCGCAGGCCTAGGGGATGGCCCGTCAGGCAGCAATGGTGACTACTCTATTCATCTGCATGTCAAACAGGCCTGGGAATTTATAAATTAGACACTGTGGGTTGGGTCTGTAGCTCAGCAGTGGGGCCTTGCAGGTGTGGGGGCCTGTCTTGGATCTGGGGTACCCACCAAAAAAAAGAGCGCCTAGGGGCTGAAGTGATAGGACAAATGGGGAAGGCATTTACCTTGCACTAGGCTGACCTGGGCTCAATCCTCGCCAACCCATAGGGTCACCCGAGCACCACCAGGAGTGATTCCTGAGTGCAGAGCCAGGAGGAACCCCTGAGTACCGCCAGGTGTGACCCCCAAAAAAGCTAAAAAAGAAAGAAACTAAAAGAGTGCCTCCGCTCAGAGAGCTTATTAAGGAAAAAGTATCCGGGCTCATGAGGATTATTAATATCAACGACAAAAAATAAAAAAGAAATAACCATCCAACTCTAAGAGTACTATTTGAAGATGCCATGTAATGCACATATAAAATTCTAAATTTAAAAAACTAAAAAAGAGTCAAACTGTAAATCTGTTAACCCCCTGCCCTGACACCTGTCTTAAGTTTATGCCTAGATCCAGTTTCTAGTTTTCATTATAGAACAAAGCTCCCATCAGGAGCCTTAATGTTCACTGTGCTGGGCTGGAGTGATAGCACAATGGGGAGGGTGTTTGCCTTGCACGCGGCCAACCCGGGTTCAATTCCCAGCATCCCATAGAGTCCCCCAAGCATCACCAGGAGTAATTCCTGAGTGCATGAGCCAGGAGTAAGCCCTGTGCATCTCCGGGTGTGAGCCAAAAAGAAAAAATAATAAATGTTCCCCGTGCTGGTGTCCATGCGGTATCTGAGTATCTCCTTCCATCTTTACTTCCTCGGGGGACTACGGCCCTGGACCCCACGATCACTGCTCCCCACTACACCTCCAGACTCCGGGCTCCCTGCCCTCCACTCCACACCTCTAAGCACACGCGTGGCCGTTATTGGAAAGCCAACTCTCCTTCACCACCGCACGAGGAACGCGCCCGGCCCTGTGGCCACGGCGCCCTTCCCAGGATCCGTGTGGCTCACTCCAGCACTGATGTTCTCATGGATGCTCCGCATTCCCCTGTGGTCCATTAAGTGGGATCCACGGGGAGGGCAGGCTAGTAATTATAAGCCCTAAATCTAGCGAACAACCGCCGAGGAGAAGTGAACGGTTCCTTGGGAGCAATTACGGCGCATTAACGACGGGAGTGGCCACCCCACCCGCAGCGCCCAGATTCCCTGGGGCTTGGAGGCTCTTTTCCTGGATTCCTTGACAGGACCTGGGGCAGCCTCCCCTGTCCATCCTTTACTAGAGCCCGTTTCTCCCCACAGAGCCGGGATGACCCTGGGCCGGTGTTTGAGCACCCCTGGATGTGTTTCTCCCTGTTTCCCGGTTCTTTAGAAGGCAAAGTCAGTTGGGCAGAGTTCATCTGCTGGGATGCTCTCAGGAAGCTGTCAGTCATCGAGCCATTTGGGGGGTGGGGGATGATTTGGGGCCATACCTGGCCGTGCTCAGAGGCTACTCTGAGCTCATTTCTTGGATGGGGGAGACCAGGAGGCATGGGAGATCAAATCGGGGACTTCTGCATGCAAAACATAAATGCTAGCCCAGTGATAGAGACTTCGAGGGTGCTGGGCACAGGGTGTCTGGGTAAAGTGTGTGTCTCTGGGCTCCAGGCCCTGCACCACAAGACAAGACTAACCCAAACACACACAAACTAGACTTTTGGTCCCACTTGGAAATATTCTAACCTACCCAAAAATATTCTAATCTATGCATGCATCTCAAATGCTACAAGGGCAGAGACTCAGGCCAGCCACTGGGATCGTAAAGGGATCAAGGATTAAAAAGAAAAAGAAAGAAATGAAAAGAAAATCACTAAGGGGCCGGAGTGATATTACAATGGGTAGGGTGTTTACCTTGCACACAGCCGACCCAGGTTTGATCCCCAGCATTCCATGAGCACCGCCAGGAGTGATTCCTGAATGCAGAGCCAAGAGGAACCCCTGAGCATCGCTGGGTGTGACCCAAAAAGCAAAATAAATAAATAAAAAAAAATTTTAAAAATGATTAAAATCTTTATCTGAAATCACTGATAACATTAACATATGTCTCTTTTCC